CTGCAGCTGTGCCGGGGACCGCCGCGCCCGAGTGCCCCTTCTGGCGGCGGCCCAGCTCTGGCTGTGGCTGCACATAGCTCCGCAGGACCCAACCTCGTAGGCGCACCTCCGCCGCCCAGCCAAGCGCCGTTCTCATGTTGGCCGGAGTCTTTGTAGTGTAGGAGATAGCAGCCCCATGGCAGCCAGCCTGCCACCAACCCGTCCCACCACAAGGAGGCAAGAGAGGGACTCGACTCAGAGAGAGATCAGATGCGGACCCGGACGCGACAGTGGCGCGCAGCAGGTGCCGCGAAGGCAAGGCGCGCCCGGACGTTTGCCGGCGTCAATGTGGGACTTGGGGCTTTTTTTGCAGGTTTCTGGCATCGATGTGGGACTTGGGGTGGGTTTTTCCATAGAATCCTAGAACCCTGAAGGTTGGAAAAGACCTTTGAGACCATCGAGTCCAACCATCAAGCCAACACGGCCCTGCCCGCTAAACCACGTCGCGAAGTGCCACGTCTACACGTTTTTTGAACACCTCCGGTGACAGTGACTCCGCCGCTTGTCTGGGCAGCCCCTGCCGATGCTTTACTGCTCTCTCGGTCAAGACGTTTTTCCTAATATCCAGTCTAAACCTTCCCGGGTGCAACTCGAGGCCCTTTTCTCTTGTCCTATCGCTGGTTACTTGGGAGAAGAGACCGTCACCCGCCTCGCCACAAGCCCCTTTCTGGTAGTTGCGGAGAGCAATGAGGGCTCCCCTCAGCCTCCTCTTCTCCAGACTCAACCACCCCGGTTGCCTCAGCCGCTCCTCATCGGACACCTTCTCCAGACCCCTCGCCGGCTCCATCACCCTTCTCCGGACATGCTCCGGCACCTCAACATCCTTCTTGTAGCAAGGAGCCCGAAACCCAATGCAGTATTCGAGATGCGGCCTCAGCAGTGCCGAGTACAGGGGCACGATCGCTTCCTTACTTCTGCCAGCCACGCTATTGCTGGCCAGGATGCCGTCGACCTTCTTGGCCACCCGGGCATGCTGCCAGCTCACGTTCAGCCAGCTGTCGACCGGCTCCTGTGAGTCCTTTTCCGCCGGGCAGCTCTCCGGCTGCTCTCCCCTGAGCCTGGAGCGTTGTGACCCGAGTGCGGGACCTGGCGCTCAGCCTTGTTAAACCTCGTACAACTGACCTCGGCCCATCAATCTGGCCTGTCCAGATCCCTCTGTGGAGCCGTCCTGCCCGGCAGACAGGGAGGGAGAGGCTGTGCACATTGTCTCCCTGTACTTTAGAAAAGCCTTTGACAGTGTCTCCTATGGCATTCTCCGGGAGACACTGGCGGCTCCAGGCTCGGACAGGTGTACTCTTTGCTGGGTCAAAAACCGCCAGGACGGCCGAGCCCAGAACATCGTGGGGAACCGGAGTTAAATCCAGCAGGCGGCCGGTCCCAAGCGGTGTTCCCCGGGGCTCAGTACCGGGGCTGGTCTCACTTAATAACTTTATCGATGGTCTGGATGAGGGGATCGAGCGCTCCCTCGGTAAGTTCACGGGCGGCACCAAGTCAGGCGGGAGCGGTGCTGT